AATGTCAAAAGACGATATTGTTCAGAACATGCTTTGGTGAGATAGGTTTTCTCTCCTAATACAGGGTGGCGCAGAGGAAACGCATGTTTTCTGACCGAATGGTATTTCGCACAGAATAGGGATATGACCTCGCCGCACCGCCAGCAGAGAACACATGCGATGCAGTTTCAGCCATGGCACCGTGGATGACGGAGCATCGTGTGTTTGCCGTCGAGCAATTTTTTCGAAACGATGATTCTGTAGTGATCGTGCAACGTTTATTCCGTCGACAGTTCAATGTTGAACGCCACGGGCCAATTCCAGATCGAAACACAATACTCCGATGGGTTGAAGCATTTCGAAGTACTGGATCCGTAATGAAGAGGAAGCCACCTGGCCTTCCCCGTACCGTGCGGACTCCAGGCAATATCGAAACAGTGAGAAGAGCGGTCCTTGATAGTCCCCAACGGTCCACTAGGCGCCAAGCTCCAACTCTGCGTATGTCCCGTCGGTCGTTACAACGCATTCTGCATGACGATTTACAATATCATCCGTACAAGATAATGATCGTGCAAGAGCTAACGGAAAGCGATTTTGCACAGCGTAGAGAATTTTGTGCGAGAATGCGGGCCATTTTTGCTGACGATCCTGACGTCGTCATAATGATGAGTGACGAAGCACACTTCCATTTAACAGGATATGTAAACAAGCAGAACTGTAGGTATTGGGCGGCCGAAAATCCACGAGAGCTACACCAACGACCCTTGCATAGTCAAAAATTAACTGTGTGGTGCGGAATCAGTAAATTAGGTATCGTTGGTCCTTACTTTGTTGAAGAGGAAGAAAGAGCAGTAACAGTTACTTCAGCACGTTATGTTCACATGTTACAAAATTTTCTGTTACCCGAACTTCAACGGCAACAAGTAAACATGGGAGAGCTGTGGTTCCAACAAGACGGTGCCACAGCTCACACAGCGAGAGCATCAATGGAATGGATTCGACAGATGTTTCCTGAACATGTGATTTCCCGTTTCGGCGATCCCTTGGCCCCCACGCTCCCCAGATTTGTCCGCATGCGACTTCTTTTTGTGGGGTTACCTTAAGGATAAAGTGTACCCTCACAAGCCTCGTACGTTACAGGAACTGAAAATTGCTATTCGTCAAGAAATTGCAAGAATACCACAAGAAATGATTTTACGTGTAATGCACAACTTTCAAGAGCGGTTGGAGATGTGCGAGCGCGAAGCAGGGCGACACTTGAGTGACGTTATTTACCATCATTAGTTTAAAAGTGCACTATCATTACTTTATTTAGCTGTAACTGAAACAAAGTTATCTTGAAAATAAAAAATGTTATGCTTAGGTGAAAATCGTGCGTTTCCTCTGCGCCACCCTGTACATTAAATGCAATTTTTAAATGTGGCATAGAGAATAACTTGCTTCCTTCTTTTGTAGGGGTCAGAACTTCCCAACTTCAATATCATTGCCTATACTATAACTATCTAAAACTGTAATGACGCATCGATGTTCACGTGAACATCACTTAACTACCAGTAGTTGGCTGTTCATAGGCGGGGTATGAATGTTTAACATGGGTGAACTAGATTTGTCACATGCTTAATAAAGAGTGGTTTGAAACATATTTTAAGTCAAAAATTTGGGAATTACCTTTATTCATCGTCGCTTCCACTTACATCTGACAGTAATAAACTGTCGCTATCGCTTTCCTCGTTGAAATTGACTATAACTGGCTCTATGATGGTGTCGATGTAGTGGTCAAGCTGCCACATTTTTGTTTCTTCCTTCACAACATGACGGATAGCATTCTGCCAAGCTTCGGGCGTTACTAGCTGCATGGAAGTCTCAAGTAAAACCTTAACGTCTGGTAATTTGAAGGTTGTGTTATGGCGCGCAATATAACCCTTCACTTGAGCCCAGATGAGCTCTATTGGGTTCAGTTCACAGTGATAGGGCGGTAACCGCAGCACAGTAACACCACATTGACGGGCCATCTCATCAGTCACGTAACTAATGTTCGCAGGTTTGTGCTGTTTAATTTTTCCATACAATTCCGCTTTCACACATGACTCGTCAAACGGAATTCCTTTTTCGCGCAACCATTGATGCATGTCACTTTTTCGAGATCCCATAGTCGGTACACGTTCAGCTCGACGACTATGGTAGGAAGCATTATCCATGACGATCACAGAGTTGGGCTCAACTCGCTGAAGCACCCCTTGAAACCAGCTCTCGAAGCAGCTGGCATTCATTTCGTCATGGTAATCACCTCCTTTCTTAGAGACGAAAAGTCACACTCTTCTAAAAAGCCACTATCGCTACCAGTATGACTTACGATCAATATTTGACCTTTCCCTGACGGTCCACGAAGACCTGTTGACAAACCTTCAATGCTTGCTTGTCGGTTACTCACTACGTTTTTGTCTATCCAGGTTTTTTTAACTGTGTGACCTGCATTTACCCATTTCTCGTCCAAATAATAGATTTTTCTGCTTTGTCGCCTATATTCAATCATTTCGCGTAGGTATTTTCGACGCCAGGCGACTATTTCAGGTCTCTCTATCAATACTGACTTCCGATTACGCGTTTCGTAACGAAAATTAATTTCGTGCAGGGATTTCCTCATTACCTCGACGCTCATTTGGGGTATAATTTCATTTTCCTTGATCGCTGCATGTACAGCCTTGAGGGTTGGTATCTCATTCCTAAAGAAGAATGAATGTACGGTTCGCCTTAACGCCATTTTGCTATCGTCATCCAATTTAGCGGCCTTTCGTCCCTTCAAATCAAACTTTGGATCAGTAGTAGCTCCAGTTCTCTTCTTTTCATGCACCACCCTGCGAATGGTCCACTCTGGAACGCCTGTCATACTTTCACAACGCGCGAGTGCATCTCCCTGCGACATAGTTCTGTTCAGATAATTGAACACGTTGAGCACGATTTCTTTCGCGTCCCTCTTCAGTGCTTCACGAAGCCGTCTACTTGTTCCCTGGCTTTCAGTACTTCCACTCGTGCCATTTGTATTCTCCATGGTTAAGTATAACCAAAACAGTAACCACAGAAACCACAACAATAACAATCACACAACAATTCTTATAAAAACACACAATATGCGATCGCTCAACGAAACACGTTCCAATGCGTTGCCGATGCCTATGAGTCGGTCGGATGCCGGTCGAGGCGCGTCTTTGATTTCATTGGTTCTACAGGCGGAGAACAATCAGCCATTATTTCCATCTCTGTCTGTGCTGTTGACCACCGCAAAGCCACAGAAACGACATATGTCGTACGCTATACGGCTGTACTGGAAGGAAGCCGGGATCGAGCTCTGATCACGTGTTGATCACGCGTATGAGTCATTACAGTTTTAAATAGTTGTAGTATAGTCTTGGGAACTCTCATAAAAATTTCAAGTTAAAACATTAATTCACGGCCTAGTTGTAATTACTTTCTATTTGGAAGATATAACTCTGTGTTGTACCGCGGAAGGATCATTTTAGAGGTCTTAAGTATTTATATTCAGCTTCTCGTGTTATTTTTTATCTACAAATACCGGACACATTTTAAGGAACATCATGTGAAAACAAGCCAATTCTGTCAAGAACTTGATGATTTTCCATGTTATTTCAATTTTCACAAACAATTTACACAAATCCCAAGGAAACTGATATGGACTAGCGGTCAAAACGTTATTCTATGACTACGTGTCCGAACGTCTCGATGCACCTTTTCGAAAGGTACTGATGCCTTCAGGTCGTCGGGAGCGCAGCATAGTTTTTTAGGACCGTTCGGATATATTAGAGAATGGAAATTTCAGACCATCACTAGGAAGAAGCATACAGATCAATCAAATCATCAATTGCAGATGCGACATCTAGTGACCAAGGCTATAATACGTTAACGCTGACGTCCAGTTATCTTAAACTAAGGGTCGCCCTAAAGGACAACACTAGTCTTGCGTCTTCAACGGTTTCGGGGCATGTAGCACTCTGCTTTTGAAGTTTTGACTGTAATAGAAATTTTTCTAAAGCGGAAAGTAATAAAATCTAGGAGAAGATCTAGAGCATTGATTCCCAAAGTGGTCTATATCGACCCCTAGGGGTCTGTGACAACCTGCAAGGGGTCTACGTCAGCGAAACAAAATTTGGAGGTCCATGAAATGAATAAGGGGGTCCAACATAGTGGATCTCAACACATACACTGATAGTACCTATTTACTTACATCATACTTATCTTATAATATCAAAACATATACATTATTTATAAACGTACCTATGAAGTAAAAAATGTATTATATATGTTTATAAAATTGTGTAAGTTGTAGGATGTTGGTGTTTGCTTTGTGATCGCAATACATTTTGAACTTGTAAAAACCTGAGAGTCGCAGTCTCAGAGCTTCGCTTCCTTGCACTGACTTGTTCAATTCGTCACTCTATAAATAGGAATGTGGGACAAATACGTTTATTCGTTTCCTGAATCTTGAAAAGGAAAGTGCTAAGAAAATATTTTAAAAAATATAAACAGATAGTATATCACACAAATTATAGTGAGTCAGTATTATTTTGTGTGAGAGTCCTGGAGAAAAGTAAGTACACTATTCTTTATTAAATTTTAGTTTTGTACTCGTAGTTAGCAAAGATAGATAAATTACGCCAATCATGACTTTAGTTATTAGTAGTTAAATATTCAATCATGCAAAATTACACGAGTACTCCTCAATAGTTTCTTTTTGAAAGTTTTAGCAATCGGTAATATAATTACAGTGCAATCTCCGTAATTCGAGCTAATTGTTGCAAGAAGATGTTCGAATTATGGAATGTTTTCGGAAAAATCAAAAAATATTTTTAATATACAGCTGCTGGATTTTCTGTCTTATTTAAATAATTTAATTTTGCCCACAGATGACTGATGCCATGTCCGAATCTAAAAATAAATGTAGACAGTACAGTGTTGATCATTTGAAATTTGGCTTCATTCCATCATTGCCGGACAAACAATCGACTATGTGCCTTTTATGTAACAAAATTTTGGGCAATGACGCTATGAAACCATCTAAACTGCAAAATCATCTGAGAAGATGCCACCCTGATAAAACAGAGAGAGATTTGAAATACTTTCAAACACTCAAATATAAATTTCAAAAGAGACCTACACTAGACAGAATGTTCGCTTCGACGCGACGTCACAAAGAAATGATGATCGTTTGCGGGCGTTTTACAATATCTCGTTACTTATGGCAAAATCCGGAAAACCGCATACTATCGGAGAGAAGTTAATTTTGCCAGCCGTTGAAGAGGTTTTAAAAACTGTTTTACACAAACCTGCATCTGATATCATTAAAAGAATTCCCTTAAGCAACAATACTGTTGAAAGACGTATTGATGAAATGAGTTCTGATATTGAAAGCTTCTTATGTAATTATTTGTAAACGACCCATTTCTCTATACAACTGGACGAGTCAACTTTACCTAATAATGCAGCATTATTATTGGCATACCTATGTTCGTTTTATTATGAATCAAGAAATCTACGAAGAACTGCTCTTCGCAAGAACTTTGATAACCGACACTAAAGGTGAATCAATATTTCATGTTTTGAAGGATTACTTCATTGAAAAAGCAATTCTTTTATCAAATATAATATCAGTAGCTACAGATGGAGCACCTGCCATGGTTGGACGTCATCGTGGATTTATAAGCTATTTAAAACAAAATGCGTCAGGGGTGTTAGCAATACATTGCGTTATCCATCGACAACATTTAGTTACTAAAAATTTGAGTGTTAGATTGCATGAATCACTTCATTTAGTTATTGATGCAGTAAACCGAATCCGAAGAAAAGCGTTGAATACGCGGTTATTTGCGCAGTTGTGAAGAAAATGACGAACGCTTTCATCAACTGCTCCTTCACACTGAAGTATGCTGGCTATCGAAAGGCTTATGTTTGACAAGATTTTTTGCACTTTTTGAGACTATTTTAGAATTTCTGGATACTCTGGAAAAATTTAATATGGTTAATTTGCAATTACAAGGCGACAGTTTAAATTTGATTAAAACAAAATCCATCTTATCAGCGTTTCTTGTCAGAGTTAAACTAATGAAGCAAAATATTGGACTGGGCGAATTTTTTCAGTTCCCCAATTTGTCACAGACAAGCTGCCAGGAAGACGACGTTTCAACTTACGTTCAACATTTAAATGCCCTCTATTCAGATTTTGAATCTAGGTTTGAGGATATTTTGACTATGGTAATACCACCGTGGATAATTAATCCATATGGTGACATAGAAGAAACGAATGTCATAATACAAGAGGAACTGACTGAACTAAGTACAAACGAAGAACTTAAGGTTCAGATTAAAAATGGATATCAGCAAATCTGGCTGCAAAACAACATACCCGTTATTAACCCTTACAAAATTGACGCCAAATGTTGATAATTTATTATTAAAGCATCAGGTTCATCCTTCTCACTAAAAATATTGACTTATTGCTTATGTTATTTTATTTATAGTTTATTTCATGTTTATTGGTATCTGACCAATAAATGCCCGCATTGGGAATAAGTGCCCGCATTGATTTTTTTAAAGAACCCCCCCTTTATAGAAAATATTTTTTTTTTAATTATTCTGAAAATTCAAGGATAGGTACACACTAAAATTCGTTAATTTTTTGCCTATTTTTAGATAACTTAAACATATAAGAAGCGGAATTTAATCAAACTAACAGTGAAATTATTGTAGAACATACGCTTATGTTATAATTAATAAACGAACTCGCTTATTGTACTATTTTAAGTAAAAAACTTTTTTTTTATTATTTTTCACTTTTTTTTTAATTTTATCCCTCTTATTTTTTTCAATGCGGGCATTTATTTCCAATGCGGGCACTTATTGGTCAGACACCTGTTTATTTAATGTTACATATATTTTACATAACAGATACAAAATTTTATTTTGAGTAGTTTTAATTTAAATTAATAAATGTATAAATTAACATGTGTTTTTACTTTAAGTTTTTAACACTAAACTTCACTACAGTTAGAAATTCACAGGAAATCAATATCAGGTAAGTAGGGGGTCTACCCAACACGGAAAAACTCTGATCTAGAGGAGGAAGAGTAAGCGGCTAATTTATTTATTTATTTATTTAGCTACGTCCAACAGCCATAGCCAATTACAGGATGGATAAACATGAAAATATAAACAAATATAGAGAAAGCTAAAACGCAGCAAAAAAAGCCTCAAACCAGAACTGCGAGGAAAAAAAGCGTTGTAGCTTTACCTACCCAGCACTCAACAATCACACCGGCAAGCATTAACGAAAATAAGCATTAATGGCTCCCAAAGTCGCAGAAAACAAAAATATAATGAGGAAGAAACAGGCGCACAAGGAACCATAGACGCTGATGAGACAATCTCTTAATGAATCAAAGAAGAGCACGTATTCTGTTGGCGATACGCTCAGTATCAGTGTCTTCCTCGTCACATTGAAAATAACAAAAGTGCAACCACATCCGCAAGCAAAATAGAATGTATATGTCCCAGCATCACTTCTACTGATGTCTGTGTCAGCACAATGGTGCTGAAAGTATTTATATGTTTCACTTTATTTTACTACTTACTATCGGAATAGCCCTACTTTATTTTGATTCAATAGACGCTTACAAAATTTTGCATGCTCCAAGTGTTGCAGCATCATTTTTATTTCTACTTGTATTTTGTAGCTGTTATCGAAAACTATTGCCATTATCGCAGATGCTGCATTTTATTTACATGAAATTATTCCGTCCCATTTAAGTTGGTCAGGTAGTTTGCTCCACAACAAACTTTTGCTAAAGTTCGGAAGTTCCGCGATAACTTTAGAAGTTGATGCAGACGGTCTGTCGTTAGAGTATGGCAGCATTATGAGAGAAGTATAAAATAATAAAGTCGGCATGTTATTCAATGAATTTTTAACTTACACTACAGCTATAAAAACCAAATGCTTACACCGAGTCAGAGAACAAAATGTTGAAGTTGAATGGAATAAAAAATATGTTTCGTCTCCATAGTAAACCGCACATGATGCAAGAATAACTTTGCTGACATTTTAACTGCACGTATTAGGTGTTAGTGATAGGAAAAAGGACCGCTTCAGGTAAGGTTCTTGAGGAATTCAAATAATTTGGAACAGCAAGCTATTAATTATTCGTTTGAGGATTCCTGCAATTTGTGTTTTCTATAGACATAATAAGCATTTTTTGAGGAAAGAAGTTTAATAAGGAAGCCTCGAAGTTAAGATAATATTTTGACTCAACTTCCACAAGGAAGATATTTAAAAACCCTCCACTGATTTCCATACAAAGCTAGTAGAGCTCTAGAACGACAATGCATTCGGCGCGAAACAGTCATTGTAGCAAGTTTGACATTACTCCATTTCTCACGATTTTGCGTTTAACTTCAACGACCAAAAGTATACTTAAGGCCGATTTCACCAACATTAATATTTGACGGTCCCTTGGACCAATGGGAAAATAGCTTATCGAAATGCAATTTGACGGAAGCTGTCAAAGATCTCCGAATATCAGTGATTTCTATTGAAATGTTGAATAAAATCGTAAAAATTCGACTGTATTATAAACAAGACCACTTTTAGATTCCAACATGATGCTTTTGTACAGAGAAAACAGGACAACTTGTCATGTATTTTGATTTATGTTATAGGTGTACATTTGACCATCCGTTATCCCCTCAGCGAATGGGAATGAGAGAAATAATAGGTCGATTTTCTAGCTGTTAAATTTGGCAGCAGGTTTGGTCGTTTGTTAATTCATGGCAATCTCGAAATTTGTTAAGTTCAATATACTGTGTGAATATGTGATCATTATAGCTACACATACCTGTTGAATTGTGCGGATTTGCAAGAAAATAGAATATAAAATGTATTCCAACCAATTCCTCATCTCTCTTTACATCATAATAGTAATCATTTGTTATAAATTCATGGGTTAATGAATTTCTTCAAAGCAATCAAAACAGTATGGTCGTCCCCATCCTAAACCACCGATATGTGTAAAACATGTTAATCCCTACATCTCCGAGGTGCATAATGCAATTACTGTAGACATAGACCTAAAATTATTAATAATTACTGAAAAATAAGAGCTAAAAAGAATTATAAATAGTGATAAAATATTGGTGGTTAAGGTTTTTGACTGGTGACTGGTGGGGATACAATATAGGAACGCCGACGATAGAGAAAGATTTTCCCCTGCCGGCCCTTGAGATCGTTTCGAAATATGAAATTCTGGAAACGCTATAAAAATAAAAATGAATACACAAAGCCTACTTGCCTATTTTAGACAAAAACAAAAACACATAACGATTGTCACCGTGACATCATTCTGCAATCTGTCAAAGTAGTGATGAGCGTGCCTGCTGCAGGGTATACGGTATCGATATTCAATAAAATATTTTTCTTTCTACCATGAATGCGTGGAAAAAACAAAATAAGGAGAGATCTAAAATAAGGAGTTATTGAAGGCCTAAAGTAGCCAGGCGCTAATAATTCCTGGCCGTATTTGAATATCTAAGCAGGCACAGTAAAACAAAAATAAGACTTGGAATTAATAAAGTTTATTTCGACAGTTGGCAGAGTTTGCTCCACTGGGGGCACTGGGACGAAGTGTTGACGGATCCCACAGAATTATGTGTCACTTGTCGATATGGTTAGTTTTAAAATATCAGGAGATAATCAGCTGATATTCAAATCAGTGCATATGTTTTGTGATTCAAATAACGTCTAATATAAATATAACCCAGAATATGTACTCAGTGAAAGAAAAATATTGCAAATTTCTAGTTTTTCTGCAGGTTTTCGGTTTGCTGGTAGCTCTACAACATATATTCTACGTGAATATAGTGTGGATGTTTGTTAAGTTCCTGAACAACGAAAAATATTCAACTCTACCAGAATGGTTTTGTGGGAATATCAATCTAAGGTGCCATAATGGTTCTGATGAACGGCAAGTAAATGAATGAATGTTTGGAAACGAGCAATATCTATGAACTTTTTGGTCAGTCATCAAGTAGGTGCTTAATGGCTAACTGCAAGAGGTTTATAGAAAAAAACACCCAGTAAATGATCTTGAATCAGTATCAGTATCAATTGAAGAAAATGATATAAATATGAATAAAAGATCAACAATAGTAATTAAATCATGAATTTTATTCAAAAATCAAACATTTGTTTAAATTTTGACTGAATTATAGTAATTTCTTAATATTCAATAAGCTGATGCTGTTTCAATGACAAGATGTCATCTCATACTTCGACAGTATTTTGTTTTCAACATTTCATAGCTATTGGTTGCTAAAATTTGTTGATTGGAACTTGAAGCTCATTCGCTGTATTTAACGGCTGCTACCCTATAGGTGGAGAATAACGGACTGTTGTTGGTGAAATTGGCCCTAAGCCTAATATTCAAGTGTCACTTATACGTTCCATCAAGAGCTTTTCCAGAAGCTAAGAAAATGATTGAAAGAAAAGCTCTCTTCAATTCAAACTTGTTCGGCTCGAGGATCGATGCCGCTTCGGACAAAAAAATCCATTATACTAGAAGTTTTCCAATAGGAAACAGTGGTGTGTATATCTGAAAAGCAATGCATCTTCTGGGGAGCAGTTCATTTTTCAAACGGTGTCTGTGGAGACAAAATGCGCTCCAAGGGACTTCCTACCTAGACGGGAGAACATAAATTTCGGTTTGTCGCTCCCCATGTAGGATCAAGGTAGTCTTACCGAAGTTGAATTTGTCTGCGTCTGATATAGCCACGATGAAGGAGTCTTTGAAAAATATATTTCGTGTCAAGCAGCGGCTGATCAAAGAGTAGACATCCGCATGCTTCTTTTTATTGATTTATACATAATTGCCCAACAGGCTAATCCAATATAATGGTAGCTTAATAATTTTTATGCATACAAGAACCACATAAAACAGACATAAGAAAATAGCTGTTATAATGATCCCTGAAGTTTGAGAATAGTTCACTGATACAATTAAAATTAAGGACAGTACTGTCTGCTATGGAATTATAATTATTATTATAAATACAATAAAGCGCAGTAGAAAGTCAGAGTACTTATTGAATTTAAACGCGGTATACAAAAATTTTACCTCTAGAGAAGTTCTGGTGCATCCACTCTCTCATGCAAAAGCTTCAGGGGCAACGTCAGACCAGAAATGGAACGTCTTAATTGTAGAGACTCTAGTTTGAAGCGCCGCAGCAGAACAGATTAACATAACCCCTTTCTGGGTATGCGCCACCAATTTTATAAGTCCAATATTTAAGGAATTTTCTTTATACATTTCATTTTCTAAGATATTTATACAATACACATAGAAAGAGTTCCATATCAAAGAAGCGTACTTAAGTTTTGGTCACACCAGTGAAATAAAACGGATTTTAAGTTATGCTTCGTTGGAAAAAGATCGAAAGTTACGCATTATGAAACCCAGGATCCGTGTCGCTTCGGAAGTGTCGCGTGCTACATGGACAAAAACATCCAACCTGCAGGATAATGTTACACCAAGGTCTTTAGACTTTGTTGATATCTCCGAAACCGCAATATTTCTGGAATAATCAAAGATAATCGAGGTCATTTTGCGACAATATGAAGAAACCTTACAATTGGAAATATTCAAGAAGAGAAATTTATTGTCACACCACTTTGTGATAGTATCTAGACTAGATCCCTCTGAAGAGAAATACAGTTTTCCAAATTTGTAGTTTTTGCGTAGATTTTTTCAGATCATGGCTAATAGTAAAATGTGGCACTTTAGTTAAGCAATGATAACTTAACGTTCACTGAGAAGTGCAGCCTATAATTTTTATTTGAAAAATTGCCTATATATATAGATATATATATATATATATATAGGTGAAAAATTAAAGCTTCCGCCTTTTGTTGGGTACTTCGACAAAATTTAAGCAAAGAGGACTCTTTATACTTTTTTAATTCTCTCTAGCTTTCAATGGACTTTGCCATCATTATCAGGAGCTGCAATTACAATGATAACAGTAGCAACAAAAGTGTAAAATGAATTTAAATTGACTCAACTTACAGTAATGTAGTATGTGAAGATGTTGCTAATTGTTGTTTACGTATAGGATAAGGGAAACGTCCAGTAACATGGTGAGAGATGGATAGATGGTACAATGGTCAAAATTATATAAAATATGACAAGAACAAGTTAAAAACAGATTAAAAATTATTTAAAAAACATTAGAGCATTACATCGTGAAGCCACTTGATGATTGCACAAAATAATAATAATAATAATAATAATAATAATAATAATAATAATAATAATAATAATAGCGTTTATTGTCCAACAGTTACCCCATTTATAGGACAATTACATAAGCACAATTAAATAATATTCAGTGGTGTTAAAAAAAAAGAAGTTATTTCAAATATAAATAAGCCATTCTAACTACTGTGTTAAGCGAACAAGTAAATATATCACAATGACAGCTAATACAATTTAGATGTTTACACATAACATATATAGGAGATTTGACTAACAAGTTGGTCCTAGCTCTTGATAGCTTAAAAGTTACATAGTTGCGTGAAGAGAACGAAGGAACATTGAAATTAATCTGTGCCAAAATGACTGGGGAGTCAATAATGCTATTTAGCAGTTTAAAAAGGAATATGGCAGATGAAACTTTCCTTCTGCATTCTAAACTATGAATTTCAAAACGCTCACATAGTTCCATATTGCTAATGCCTTGCTCAGGGTAAACTCCTTCAGATTTGAAGTATAGAAACTTTAGAAATTTTCTTTGGACCCTCTCAATATCATTTATATAAGTCTGGTAATACGGATTCCATACAACACTCGCATATTCTAGTTTTGTACGTACATATGTAAAATAT